CCACCGACGCGACGCCCGATATACGTATGGATTACACATTTATGAATTACGCGAGTCTGATTGCGCGGAAGTAAACGCTCACGGTATTCAGCCTCGACCCCGATACGATTCGGACCGAAATGTGCGGGAAACGATCCATTCGAGCGAACCAGGCTTTTTCCTGCAGCTCTGACATCAACCCATAGTTTCGTTCGGAGCTCGGACTTCTCTTGTTCGGAAACTCGGTCACTTTCCACGCGGTCCCGTGACGCGGAGACCGAAAAGTTAGTTGTACGGCGACGCCACGCATTCTGCAAGTCGGTGTTCGGCTTCCGGCTGTGGATCTCCACCCACTCTTGAAGGGGTTTGAGAAATATCTCGGGGAGCTTGCGGGGATCAGCGCCCACGAGTCGTGCCCGTCGACGGGAGTGACTCGACTGCTTTGCTGTTTCGGCCATGGCCGAAATAGCAGCAGCACGGCTCCGCGAGTCAGCCTGCGAGCCGGAAAGCGGACCTGAACAGCGAGGCACATCACGCAATGTTGCACGTGGAGAAGAATGGAACGTGTCCGTGTGTGCGCTCGCATCGTTTTGGAGCAGCTCGCTCAGTTTTTCGTGTACGTCGAGTTAGTCTCCCTTCCGAGGGACCAAGTTTGCTCCTCTCCCGCCACGAAGCCGTTTATTCAGCGCGACGACTTAACGCTAAGTCGAACGAACGCGAGGCTAGCTGTCCCCACGTCGGCCGCTGACGCTTGAAGACGCTGACGGTCGGCCCGACCAGAATGGGATTCCCTTGTTAGTTGTCGCGGTCACCCGAGAGAGCACCTGCTCGCTGACCAGCATCCGAGCCCGGTGAATTTTCAGTCTATCCGAGTTGAGCTCGTGGACGACGGGATATTTTGATTTCATATTCAGAAAGGCTCGGGAAAGGAATGTCACTCCCAGAATAAGTAACCCGCCAGGAATAAGGTCGCACTGCAAGCAGAGTGCATTGAGAACTCAATTGCGTTTTCGACTCTGTGCGTTTATGACTTCTTCAGTTTCTGGAACGGAAAGAACACAACGATTTAGATTGGGTGAAGGCACCATCGTGTGCGGATGAAAGGTGCGCATGCGAAAATGCGACTACCGTACAGTCTACGGGTACGTGGAGATGCAATAAATCGGTCCCCTCCGTGCTGATGACGTTGCCTTCCATGTTCCTACTCTCAGAATCAAAAACCGAGTGTTCGCACTACGTGCGTCCCAGGCAAAGCTTCGGCAACTCCCGAGCTCAAACTCCTTACGGATTCGGCATCTTTGGAGAATATTGCGATTGCTGTTTTCTGAGCGAGGGCAAGACTTTGATGGGATGAGAGATGCGCGCATCCAGAGTCGGAGAACTTGGTGGGACTTGATGAAGTCGGCAAAAGTTTCATTCCCAGGAATCCTCCTTGCGCTTGTGTGATGCGGCCCAAGAGTTAGCGGGGCAGTCGGAAAACGTAGGCCGAAGAATTGAAGATAAATCCGGAAAATCCCGCCTCATAAAACGGTACGGCTCTCTCTCCCTCTTTTTTTCTTTGTCCTCCCGTCTATGCCAAAATCTTGAAGATCCTTTATTTAGGCTAGAGCCCGCTTTCTCCACAGGCTCCACTGTTCCTCGGCTGCTTCCCTCATCGTTTGCCCCCGCAGCGTTGTGTTAGACTGTGAAGAAGGCTCAGCGAATGTTACTTTCTGCTGCTTCTGCCAGTTCCGCTGCTCCTACCAGCGTGATGTACGTCGTGTTTTCTTCGCTGCAACGGCCGCCGCATTTTCGGGAGATATCTTTTTTGCACCACTCCTCCGTCCTCGCCCCGGTATCCGCTAGTCGTTTCAGCACCGTCTGTCATGGCATCCAATATAAATAAACGCGTTGCAGTGTCCCCGCGAAGTTTCAGAACTCGCTCTCAGACGGTCCGGGGGCCGAAGCTTTTCGGGGCGGCAAAGCTCTCGAGTTAAATCGCATGGCACGCTCCGCGTTCTACGCCGTCGTTCTAGCCTCAGTGAGTTCCACGGCACCAATCGATTGAGCGATTGATTGATTTACACGCTCGTTTTCGCTGATCTGTTTTTTTTATCGCCATCCGACGACCAAGAAAAACTTCACACGATGAACCGAAACCCGGCTCACCTGACAACTAAACAAAAGGCCGCCATTGAGAGTCAGAGGATCCGACAGCGATGTCATGTCACGCGGACGACGGCGGCGCCGTCCCTCAAAACAGGAAGACACTGAAGGGGGAAATCTGCTCACAATGCACCTAGTATGACGCGAAAGATGCGGGTTACATCGCCTGACTGGACCCGCCAGGAGACGGTCATTTCTCAGGGAATCCGTCCCATGATCCGTGACCCAGAAAGACGCAGGAAGCGCAGAGGCAAGCCGATGAACGTTGTCAGTGGTCTCGGCGAGGCTTGCCAGACGCGGGATCGATGTAGAGGTCAAGTCCATGGACGGCAAGGTCCCCGGCTCGCGCTGACATGGTTTGCCATCGGTGCATGACAAGAACCAGCTTGGCAGCTTTGAGAAAACACCGACTGCCCATAATACCTGGAATCATCCTCTGGGAGGTGGGAATATTCTATCCGGACTAGCTCGTCACGTATTTCGGACACGGGTGCCGAAAACGCTTTGCGCAAGACTCATCTAATCAAGACATGTCCAGAGCCCGGTCGACTTTATCCCGTTGGATGAGGGAAATGAGATCCCGAAGGATCGGGTAAGTTCCTGCAGAAGAACTCGGCGAGCTCCTTCATCGAGCAGTTGCTTGAGAACGGATGATGCGACAATTATCCTTAATGTCGACGTTGACATTTGTCACAATTAGTTCTCACAGCTGGAGGGAAGTCCGAACGGAGTCACGAGTTCTTCCGTGCCGTACGCTAACACGGTTACGAGGCGTCACACGAATTCCTGGCTGCGAGACGGACCATGACCAACGAGTCATTCATTTTGACGGCAGCGACAACGAGACCTTGGCCGCACCTGGCGTCTCGCAGTTAGCGGGCGGGAGTACTGCGGGAGGGTCGGGGACGACACGAGGAGGACATAGCCTGCAGTCTTTTTCTCATTCCTATCTTATGTGAGGGTGGATGCCGCATTCTCTCTCACTTATACGATGCACAGACACTGACTTGCACTCTGAAAGACGATACAACGCTACTACAGCCCCCGTGTGATGAGACGCAGATTATTCTCTGTGTTGCCTGCCTGCTCGCTTGGTCGTCTGGCCACCAGACTGGCATTGTTGGCATACCGTAAACGACGTGCATTGCAAGTTGGAACGAGTCAAGGAGCGACAAAGAGAACAGACAGGACGTAAGAGAGATTGAGCCAGAAGTGAGGGTTCCCGTGGCATTGCGAACAGACTCATAGAGTGGAATCACCGAGCTCTCGCTGTACATATCGAGTGTCGTGAGGCACGACTTCGGCTGTCTCAACGCCTGAGCCCGACTTGAGATCAATTAGCTATGATTACGCTCGAAGCAGAGTTTATGCGAACAAGTGTCCCGTCGTTTCCGTAGCATGGGTGTTGGCGTCGGATACATACTATGACTCCGAGCCTGTGTGAACCAGACAGGGCGATTCGCTATCTGAAAGCTGGCAGTCGAGAATAGATCCTGATCGCTCTTGGCTCTCAACGCTCTGCGGAACAGAAGTAGCAATCGAGAGAGCTTCCCAAGGCCGAGATAATTCTCGCTGGAGCGATTCGCCTCTCCCTCGGAGGAAAGCTCCTCATCGACACGAATAGGTCCTTCGGGTCTGACGAGAACCGAATCATTGAGCCAGAGCAAGTCTACAGATTCCTCGATTCCTGGGACTTTGTTGTTCACTGATGGCCGTGTTTCATGGATATTCTGACGGACGGGGGGCACTGAGCACGACGTCGGTTCTAACGGCCCTGCATTATCAGCCCACGAACTTACGTCTGGAGAAACGGCCCTGTTCGGCATTGCGGTGGCCGCTGGGACGATCGGAAGTGTCTGCTGAGACCGGCACTTAACCTAGGCACTGTCATTTCACGGGGGCTCTAACCGAGTCACTAGGTTGATACCCGACGGCCGCTTGTCTGCGCTGGTATGGTGACCACAACTCTATTGGGATGCTACGGGAGTGACGTACAGCGTACATTCGAATGAGCGGGACGAACGTACGGTGGAAGCATCGTGTCAGTCGCCCTCGGCCTCCTACCCGAGTGTTCCTAACCTTCCAAGGCGGTTCCTCGAGCTGGATTTCCGCCAGGAGGTTCTCCTGCAGAACCGTCGTGAGGAGAATCCTGGAAGTTTCCCTGTCAAAAAAAAGAAGAGCGAGAATAAAGTCACATCCCGATCTTCCGGGAAACTTGTCGCGGCCTAAATCGACAACTCGTCGATGAGAGGAAAGAGCGAAAATCATGAGTCCGGACTCGTTGCAGTTTAAAAAACATATAATATATGTGTATTTATCGGAATCTCCTCGCTGACGTTTTTTTTTCTTCATATCTGTACATAATGGTGTCGGACATCCGTTACCGTCCGTCGCTTTGATCTTCAGCATCATTTCAATAGAGACAGACAAAGAATAAAAGCTCCTTTCAACATTCAATGGCTCCGTCTTTCTAACAGCAAACTCGTTTGTCGAAATGAGCCTACAATCGGGCCGATTTCGATTGTTCGTTTTTACAGCTGTGATGAGGCGTCATCAATGAAGTTATCCGACTTGATTCTTCGATAAAATATGATCCATAGTGATGCTATTCGGACTCGACTCCCGATCCTCGTCTAACACTGGTCACGGAGAGCGTGTCTTCGCCCCGCGAACGTCATCGTCTCGCCTAGATATTGCGCTTCCTTCGCGCTGTTGCGGCTGCCCCTTTTTGTCCCGGATCTCCGCCTCAGTACATATCCGTATTCCGTGAGAAATCATCGAGCATGTGAGCCTCTCTTTGTACACTGAACAGTTCACGATCTGAATCAGGAGCTTTGAACCGGTTCGGGTCCCGCCTGAAACAGATTAGCCATTCATCACGTATTCTGGGTGACGTGGACTTGGGAGAGCTGATGTTGTTGGTACTGCTGTTGTTGTTGTTGTTGTTGGATATTCGCTCCCGCAGACGTTGTGACAATGGTGGGCGCGCTCAGGATCGACGAGGGCGTCAGTCGAGACAGGGTCGAGGTCCCGCAGTCGATCGACCGGATGGTGCCCATGACGTGTGAGCCTCCTGCAATGAAGACGAGCCAATTATGCAGAAGGAGCAGCGGTCTACGCGGAAGAACTTCGCCACGGTGTACACAACAGAAATGGACGAGCTCAGCGACGGGAAGCGAGGGTAGCCGACTCGGGAGAATCCTGAGCTCGTTTTCCCCTTTTCCATTTGAATGCAAATGCTCCGAGGCGAAGGAGAACGACCTCGCTTGTCTTCCCCGTCGACTTCTTGATGTTGTTTAAACGCTACGCCCACTCTGAGCCGGGGACGCACGAGCGGACACCCTTACGAGGAAAAAAGAGGAATGGACGTCTGGACGTCCGACTGACCGACAAACCAACAACGCCGGAATAGTAGCTCGACGGCGGACCGGAAGGCTCGTCAGGACGTTCCTGACAGCCTGTCCGAGATTCAGTTCTCGAGCTTGCGCTCGCCTCGAGAAGAGCAACTTGTCCGAGTTGTCGTCGCAGAGTCCACGAAAAAAAAAACAGCGAGGAAGCGGCGCGGTATCTTCGTTGAGTAGTGAGTACTCACCATTGGGAAGTTGCAGCGATTGAGGCAGAGGTGACTGTTGGATCTGCGGCACCACGAATCCGGTCGACAAAGTCGTCTCGTTCCCCATTTTAGACCCGACACAGGCCGTCGATTGTCCGGAAGGGTTTACGAGCGCGGAACCCCCGCCGCCGCTGCTGCTACTGTTGCTGCTCCCGCCGCTGTCGATGACACCGGCAGCAGGCTTGGTTGCGGCGGTAACAACTTCGAGGTGACTCGCAGATTGAATGCTCATTGGCGGCGGCGGGTGTGCAACGAGCGCCGGCAAAACGTCAAATCCCTGCTCGAACATGGCCTGGTGACGACTGCAAAGGCCTCCGGGTATGGGGAGACCGCTCGATGTTGTCGTTGTGGCCGTGGTCGTCGTTGACGCCGATGTCGCGATCGCTGCAGCGGCAGCAGCAGCTGCCGCCGCGACCGCTGCTGTTGTGTTCGGTCCGCACAACTAAAACAAACGTCATGTCAGCCACGGGCCACTAAAATTCAAAATGTCACTCTGCCCTCCTGGCCTCCTCCGTGTCGACAGTCGTCATCCAGCTCGCCGTCTGGTGCCGCCGGCCGCCGCCGCTGCCGCGTCGCATTCCGGAAGGGAATTTCGGCCTTCGGGAGTTCGATCCAAACATCGGGCCTCTCGCACTCAAGCGACTTCTGTTGTTCCGGTATTCGATGTTTTGGAGAAATTGGAAACTCTGGGAGAATCGTCAAGCCAGAGTTTTCGTTGCCAGAAGGCACGAACCATCTGCATGATCCGAAATAAAATGTATCGGCCGCATTTCTAGCGTTCCGATCGAATTACTTCGAGCAATCGATCCGGAAGCTCTCAGTCAGAGGATCCATGTTTTCTATTGAGTCTAGGCCCGTCCGGAACCGGAAAGAGGGTTCAATTCCTCTCGGACTCGGGCGTAGATCTCGAGAGACTTGGCCTGCGGTCAAAGGGCCCTCCGTATCGAACTCGACGTCCTTACGGCCGGCGGCGAGACAGCCGGATTAGATATTGAAAATGACCCGAGAGAATGCGTATCGTATCCCGTCATCACGCAACGTCCCTTGCGAGACCCATGTACTCCCATGAAACGGCGGCATACAGTGATTATGTGGGTCCAGTATAGGGATGGATGTATGTACATATACGAGAAGGAGCTAATCCCACGACGACCCCACTTGGTTCGAGCACTTACGTTTGAGGCTCTGGACATCGTCGCACTCTGCGGATCAGTGAGGTCGGAATCTCCATTGTACGTCGTCCCAGAGCTTTCCATCTCAAGGTCGGTCGTCTCTAAGATTTCGGGATTTCCGTGACTGCTGTCGGTGACTGAACCGCCCTGCTGCTGCTGCTTAGCCCTCGTGAGGGCCAGGGTGTGTGCAGTCACCTCGAGGAAGTTTGGTAGAATGGGCACATTTTGTACCATGATCCCTGTAGAGCTATCGCTAATGCTCGGGAGGGAAATTACTCCGTAACCAGAGGTGCGGAAGTCTTCCATCTCGGCTCCAACCTCCAAACATCCGCCACCGTACGATGACTGCAGCTGAAACGAATGTTCCGTGATCAGATGGTCATCAGTACGTGTTTGAATTTTATAATTTCCGGATAGCTTCACAAGACCCATCGTATCCCCTCCCGTTCCCCCCCTATCCTTGGTACGGTTCCGTGCTCGTCGACCGACCGGAGGTACCCAGAAAGTACGCTGCGTTCCGAGGAGAATTCTCGTCCGCGTTTTAGAACTTCTATTCACAGAACACTCCGCTGTCACACGGAACTCGACCCGCAGGAGGACTTGAAACCACGTCCTACCGGATACTCCAGGCTCATCAAGTGCTCACTTTAGCCAAATTACATCAAAGTCTGAGCTTTGGCCAAGCGGTGGACCAGCCGACCAACCGACCGACCGGCCGCCGCAGGACACTCACAGCGCCGCACACGGAACGACAACTTGCTCACTCGGTCTACTTGGGGACCATTTATGTTTGAATAGCAGCCACGGGATTGGTCACTAGAGCCATGAGGACGGAGCTTCCGCTCTCACTTCCCATCTGCTCGCTTTCGGTTGGGTCACCGGGTTTGTTTGGTTGTCGACAGATTATGGCTGCAACTATTGCAGCCGTGCTTGACAAGAAAGCTACACTCGTGAGCAGGGAACCCAAGCCCTAGAGCCAATGTGGGGAGAGCGCGAATTTAAACGCACCGACCGGCAGGCGTTCATTCCTATTCCGTGGCACATCTATCTCGTGAGCAGCAGCTGTTGGCGAGAATTGTTTATAGCGGCATTGATCCATGAACGAATCTCCTAATGACCTCATCCTGTTTTCTCCTCCGGCGGAAACTTTGCTGAGACTCGCGACTCCAATTCAGAGCGAGCTCCAGAGCGCCCCGTTGTCAGCCGGCTAATGGGTTTATGCAGTGGCCGGGCAAGCTCACCAGAGATGATTCGAATGGATGGACGAAGATTCGATATCCCAGAGTCCAAACACTCTTAAAATCGAACTGGATCCATCATGGGATAGAAATCTCACTGGTCAGCCGACTGGCACCACTGAGGGCCGTCGGATACGGTGGTCGGAGCCACGCGTATTGTGATATACCGACCAAACATAACGACGGACCTACGAGCCCGCGAGCCGATCCGGAGCACGATGGACCGAATCGCAAGCTCACGGAACCACGAGGAGTGCGGGCTGTTCGCGATTGATGCGAGGCCGCGTGAAACTCGGAACGGTCCGCTGATAAATATTCTCTTCCCGAAAATGGATCAGATAGGACACACCCGCTCTCGTGCCGCAATCAATCCGTAGCTTCAGAACGATTCGGGTCCCAAAGTAGCACCGTGGTTAGCGTGCTCGATTCGAGATGAGCGAAACGTGCATGCCCTACACGACTTCATCAACTCGAGAACCGAGTCGGATTCGATGTTCTACCCTATGCGAGAAGTTCCCAGTCGTAGTGGTCCCTATTCCCTGTCTTTCCTTTGAATTGAAGTTCCGGAAGGTTTTCCCCCGAATTTCCGCGAGGTTCCGCGTCCGAGGATGGACAGATGGATATTCACCGAATGAAATGGTTTTTTCTTCGAGCGCAACAAAACCAAATTCATTCGTGCACCCGTGCTTCGATAAGTCAGGGAAACGATTTCGCGGGCGGGAACTCGTCGGTTTCTATGAGAATCGCTTCCCACGCGATGTTTTCCGACGATCAGGGTGGTTCCTGTGCACGATATGCCTCGCATGCTCATCCGCGAGATGGAATGGCGAGAGCCCTTCGCACCAGGGTGTTTGTACATTTGATGCTCATGAGGTTTCGAAATCGCTGCATCTATCTGGATATGGGACGGGGAAAAACGGTCCAAGTTGCCACAGGCGGGGGCGCTTCCGACTCTCAGGAACCAATTGAGATAAAGATCAAGGAACGAGGGGAGAACGAGCGCTGCGCGCGGAATGTTGGGGCCGAGTGGAAGGAACAGAAACAGACGCAGGGAAACTTTTTATGCGTAAGCGTAACTTCGCGTGGGTGAGCTTGAGCGCGCAATCTCGGGGCCAGCATCTATCAATATGAATTTCCGACGGCAAAACTTTTTCAGCCTTCTCCTCCGTCCCCCGTCTTTTTAACACGACCTTAAATCGGGCCACTGGAGCGCTCGAAAGGGACCCACCTCGGCCGTGGTGACTGATGAGTTCATGACCTGATCAGGGAACGCCACCGTCTGGTGGAGAGGTTCCTGAGAAGATAAAACCGATGTACAACCTTGTAGCACCTCCCCTTCCTGCAAAGCAAAACTTATCATTTTGCCGCAATTTATATCCCCACGCTCGTAGAGCACGCTCTCACAGAGCCCGACCGAGATGCGTTTTTCCCTCGTATAAACATGATACACGATGGTGGCGTCCGCAGGATTCCACGCGGGGCAGGTGGAGGGATTCGGAACCGGACGCATTCAGGACGCGGCTGACAATTCGTATTAATGACCCGCTTCTGAGCTCCGGCATCACGAACGGAAAATCGGTGACAGGGCAACAGACCCCTCCGATTCCCCCTCCCCCCTTGGAAACGCCTCCGAAAACGATCAGGTGTGATAAATAATCAGCAATATTGATAATAATGGTGAAAACGCAATGAATCCATCAAAATCGGTTTCGCGCCCACCTTATACGTAGTAACTTGGCCCCCTTTGCAGTGCGAAGTCGAGTTCGGAGGTGATGATGTGATTTTTGTGAGTGAATGGCTATCGGGGGCCATTTCGTACTGTCATTCGAGATCACTGGTGTCCAGCTCGGAGTCCGAGACAACACCGAGATGCTTCCCCATTTTCCGCAATTTGTAAACAACCTGTTCCTGCACTAGGTTGAAACACATGGCTATCAGAGCGAGACCTGGAAAAGGAAACAAATGAGCGTATTAGATAGCACTCCTTCGGCCCTGTATTGCGCCACTCCTGGGCCGGCTCAGTCTCTGCTGCACTCGGGCGGACACCGCGTCGCTGCCGCCACGGCCGCCTAACAGAGATGTAGCACTTCCTGTTTGTTCATCCTGAGCCCCACGGAGATCAGTCATCCATCATCAATGGGAGCTAGCGGGACGGGGCTAAAAATGGGATAAAGTTGCTTTCCTTGCAAGCCACCCGTTTACCCGGCGCATCCCAGAGCCCACCCCTCGTTTTTTCTACCGGTCATGTTTCTATCTGGGAGCGTGCGCTCGCATCAAAGCCGTTTGCCACGAACACACGGCTCTGACAAAGAAACAATGAGCTTCTCAGCAGGAAGCTGATATTCTGCTAAATCCTTCATTATCAAGGATACGGAGCGCTCAGAGTCGGATGAGCAGCCGTTATCGAGCTGACCGAAGAACCGATCATCCTCCTCTTCATCCACCAATCGAATCGAACTAAAAAAACAGAAAAAGGAGCTACGAACCAGTGAGCAGATAAATGGAGCAGATGGCTAACTTCTGTTCCGAACCCTCGATACTCTGACCGGGAACCAGGTCCCCGAAGCCAATAGTAGAAAGCGTCACGAAGCAGAAGTATGACCCTTCGAGGTAGTCCCATTCCTTCTCCCAGAAGGAGAACAGAAAAGCACCTGTAACGAAATTCGTGTCGGAAATTTATTCATTACCGGAAACTTCCGATGGACCGCGAGCCACCGACAGGCACTTCCACCGAAGCGCTTCGGATTCGGGAGATCGAATTCTCAAAAGTTCTTCCGTTCGTTCCCCCTCGTATGCTTCGGCCGGCGGCCCGCTCGGTCCGTCGGTCGTTCGCTTTTTCCTCCTTCCGCAGCTCGATCGGTCCAGGTTATCTCGGGCGATACGATCCGCCCTCCATGTGATTCTTCGGATAATCGCGGTCGGTTCCGCACGCTCCCGGGACTTACCGGCACATATGTACAGTGTTATAATCGCCATGCAGAGGCTGATTGGCACAGAGACTCGATCCGTTGACCTGGAAGCGGAGAAGCACGTTGAAGAAATCGCGGAGGCGACCGGCAGTTTTATAACTGAGCAGTTGAGATCGAGAGAATGATCCGGTCAGACGCTTGAGCTCCGGAACTCATATCGGATTTCTTCCTTTTTGCGTCCCCGTTCGACTCTCTCCCCTACCTGTAATATTCGCTACCGCTGCTGTGCTGGGAAGGATATCCCTGGCCCGCTAGCGGATAATTGTACGCGGTCGTCAGCTGAAGATCGTGCAGATCCAGTTTGAGCGAAGGAGTCTTGAGCTGCGGAGTCGAATCCTGTAGTGCGTTGCTAAAACGATCATACGAGAAGAGCTCTTGAGGAGTTTCTCAGAATCGGAATATTCGACACCCACCATTGCTTTGGATGCGTTTGGACCCAATGGTGTGAGATTTTCTGACTGATTGTAGTTGAAATGTCCTCGTGGCATTCTGAGTGCTTTCTGATCTTTTCTCGAGCCCCGGCAGAAGCATAGTCTGGAAAATTCGTTTCATAAGCCTCGAGTTCGGATTGGAAGAGGATCGAATCGTCTGATCCAGCTGCACACAAATCTCGTATTCTTCGAAATGAAATCATGCGTTATCCCGCAAATCGGTCTCGGATTGGACCGAATCTTGAAAATCCAAATCGAAAATTCGCGAAACTTTTGAGCAATCCTGCAATCTGTTCGTCCTCCGGGAGCTCGTCGGAGACTAGTCCCAGTAGCGCCTTTTCTGTGCTTCGAAAGCACTCACCTCACGTATGAATACTTGAATGCCTTCGCCAACAAGTCTCCTATATTTGTGAGGTAGAGCAGCATCAATGGAATTCCCACCAGCGCGTATAGAATGGTAGCGACTCTTCCCTCGGCTGTTTTCGGAGATATGTTCCCGTAACCTGAGGAGAAATAAATGCGTTTCCAAGTTAGAGAAGAATTCCCTTCACCGAATGGATGCGACCTGGGGCAACCGTTGCGTCGATGGAGACGCAACTCGACTGATTTACGCTCCAGGATCAATGAACGATGAACACTACGCTCATTTTTCATAGTGACGGGGGGATATAACGAAGCTTCAGATGAAGCCCCGACGAAAAATGGAGCTTTTGATGCGTGACTGATGCTCGTCACTGCGCGACGCTCTGTCAGGCGTTCGCGAGATACTGAGAACTAAAAAGCCATCCCAAAGCTGCTTCCTATCGCGCCATAGACACCTTGGGGTGGAGGCTGGTGAGCCCGATCTGCATTTCCATGCGTATACGTGGGAGAGCGGTTGCGCAGCGCGGCGGATATCACCCGATGGATCCTCGCGAGTGTATCGCGAAGAATGGAGCGACATCTCGAGAATTTACATGACCGTGCATCTGGTAGAGAGGGACCACGAAAATTTCCAGAGAAGACTCAATCTATTCATCATATTTCCTAGGCTGGACGTCTGAGCGTCTGGTCGGCTCTCAGCGGCATACCTAGGTACGGCGAGTCCAACCGTTCGACCCCTGAAGTCGCCGCTTTCGTTTTATCGACTCGAGCCTTCATGGAATACGGTGAACCAAACAAATCAGAGAATGAGTAGTCATTGCTCTGGAGAAAGTTGACGGGGGCCCGGGGGGGGGGGGCAAGGGCTCGACTCCGATCGGCATTCCGTGAAGGCTGGAACTCTCTCTCACACAGTGTCGTCGGCGCTCCTCGCTCCATCCCACCAACCTTCCGCATTGAGAGGAGAGAGACGCTCGAATGAAGTCTCCGATCCCTTGCGTCGCTAATCGTCAGCGAGTAAATTCTAGCATTGATGAAATATTCATCGGTACATCGTTCGTGATAGCTTGGTGGAGGGAGAGGAGGAAGGATCCGACTTCCTTCGGTGGAGAAGTGCAACAGGTTAGAATGGTTGCATCGAACGAAAGCAATATAAGATGGGGCTCGTTCAAATCGAAACCATGTTGCGAGCCCTTGGAGGAAATCCAGCGGTCCGAAGCAATCGCACACGGCCCGCTCCGGAGCGTGGGTTTTTCTCTGCTCCGTTCCGTTCCCATCGCCGCTCTAAGTCTACGAAGGGCAAATGAGGTTCGAGCCGTTCTATTCTCCGCTACCGATAATGGCACTAATGGCTCCGACGGCCGATGTCGCTTGTTGACGCACAGTCATATATATTCACAGGTGTCGTTCCGGCTGCCTCGGAACAACCAACAACCCGACAGACCAAAAGACCGAGCCGTCCCACCTTGGTAGAGGTCGCAGGCGAGACTCGCGGGCCGGCAAAGCGCATGGAAAAGCAAACAAGGCACGAGCTCGTGCACAGGACGGCGCAACGAAACAACGCACGTTTCCCCAATGAGCGAGATACCAGCCGCGGCCGATTGCGTTCTCATTACATCAGGACACTCAGCTGAATGGAAAACGCGTCGCGCTGAATTTCTTCGCAGAACCCCAAGGCCCGCCCGAGTCGGTTCCTCGACGCTCTTGGCCATGTTTCCGCTTGTTTGTTTGCTCGATGAAACGTCGCTCCTAATCAAATTGAGTTCCCCTCCCCTTGATGCGATTCCCGGCGCCGCACAGCGATCGAGGCGCGGAATCCTCGGAGACTCACACGTGGATCTTGCCGCCCTCACTGTCGTCGCAACCGCAGGTTCTCCAAGTCCGGTAGCTGGGTATTGTTTCTGAACTCGTGCCCCAGCGCTTCATACATATGTACCTCGGATCACGAATCCCCGAATCTCAGGCGAATCGATGACGAAATTCAAACGCGTACGGAACTGAGCCGTGACTCATGAGTGCGGGTCGCAGGAGGCGACCGCGGGGTGGGGGCGCTTTAAGTAGCGCCCCTCGCGGTCCGTCAACTGATTCTAATAATTATTGTTATCGCCTCCGCTTCGAAAATGAGAAACGCGTGGAGCTCGCAGGAACGCTTTCGAATAATGACAATGTTCCCGGAGCAGCTCCGAGCCGGGCTAGGTGTCTATGTCGTGACAGCAAGAACATTTTATCGAGTTCAGTTTGAGCGGAGGCAACCGTTCTTCCGGACAACATTAATGGGGGACGACGCAGAACGAGCGGGAGAGCGCGCGAAATGGAAGCCGCCGCCTCTACTGCTGCCACTCCCCGATTTCCCCTGGTAATTACAAGGGTTGATTGCGGCCCCCTAATACCAGCCTCGAGGATCTACAGCAGCGCCGGTCATCGTCCTGTCTGTTCGCCGGCCCGCATGAAACTGTGGTATATGCGATACATTCGGCGTCTATCTGCTCGTTCTGTGAGACGGTAAACAGAACGTCGAGTGACCTCCAGTCGCGTTGGACAAACTCGACTCGACAAGCCAGTATACGGAAGAAAAAACAGACGCACGAGGCACAAGCGGCTCCCCTTCTCACACCCACGGATCCGCTGTTTTTTTCCCTCAGGAATTCCGTGCGTCTAAGGGCTCCGCTATCAGCGCAAGAGTAAGCCAGAGCGGCGATACGGGCCTGGTCTCACGATGCGCGTACATATGCATGTACGAATGTTCATACGAATTAGTGTGTCTTCTGTTTCCGCCATTCTTCTTCCCTTACCCCGTGTCCCGAAGAAGCCGCGGAAGGGCACCCGTCCGTTTCAGACCATTAGCGTGAAAACGGACCGACCGCCATCAGTCGCTTGTCGAAACAAGAGGTCGGCGGAGGAAAAACTGAGGATGAAGGCGCAAGTGTGGGAATTTGCTGCGTCGCGTTGGCAGAGAATGAGAGAGATTCTCGGGTTCCACGTCCAGGAGCTCGGAAGGGAGTGGGAGCTGTTCCATGGGCAAAAGAGCTAATAGAACAGTGCGTAAGCGCTCCTCGACGAATTCGTCCTTCGTGCGGCTCCGGTTCAGGCAGGACCGAAAAGACATTATTGGATTCCGTCGATGGCGTAAGCCCGCCTCGCTACTTGTTTCGTCCTTCACACTCAGTCATACGTCTCAGAGATTCAAGCAAATCAGGGGCTGAAAAGAGACGGGAGAAGGGACGGAAGAAGCGACTTTGTCTGGTGTTCCACGTACGGTCAGCTTTGCTCGGAATCCGATCATCCGGTGACCGTTTCATGGATAGAATGGAGGATACAGGGAATTCAATGGCATTTGTCGAGTGCGGTGAGTGCCTCTCTCCTCGTCACCCGCGAAGGAGGAAACAATAGGAAGAAGGAGCTGCTCGGGATACACCTCTCACGGGAAATCATTAGGCAATGCGAATTCGTCGTATTTTAGAGAGACTTGTAGACGACGGCTCATCTACCGATCATTGTCTCCGAAGGCCTCGGAGAATTGAACTCTCGATCATCCGTATTGACGGACGTGGGTAGAACCATGACCATCGTTCTCACTATCGAACCTTATTTTGTGGAACATTTTCTCTCTTCGCCTTCCATTTACCTCTTGAAGGAAGGGCACCGAGTGAAATCATTCGGAAAAAATAAAGAGATATTGTGAGCCCAAACGGTAGTTGTTGGGGTCCGCGGAGACGGCACTCGATTCGTTTTGTCGGGAGCGAGTCCTTCCATCGATAGAATCCCGTGTGGGTTTTTGCTTTTCAGAGAAAAACATCTGAACACGGCAAAAATGGAAATATATCCGGACGTTTCAGAAACAGAGAGGAGGAGAGATACGTTTGTGGTTTGTGAGAGCTTTTTGCAGCGTGCGATTTTTGTCGAGGGTCTCGCTCATTAGGTGGGAGCTTTTCCGCAGAGGGACCCAGAGGACGATCCGGGAGAGAGAAGAAACGGGTTGGAACGGGGGCACTTGGGGAACGGTTCAGGTAGAACGCGGTAGAGAGTACAGCTGTGAAGCGTTCCTTATCTTTATATCCAGGGCCAGGATCCCAGAGGGCCTCGGCCGACACCTTCCCGAGCGATTGTTCCGAACGACTGTACAAGGATGTCCCGGGAACAGAGGGCAGCTCGCGAGCTGCCTCCCATCGGCGACCAACGCGATGAGAAGTTTGCCTTCGACTTCGAGCGTCGAGTCGATCGGACATCCATAGCGAGTGACGTCATGGCTTAGGTCACATCAGTGATTAGCGGCGAGACGCGAATCCCTCCGCTCAGGATTCTCAACGAGCTGGAGGCTTTCCATGATTGACTGCTGCCGAGCCGTATCAAAGCGAATTGAATTACAAAAACCACTCCGTTCCCGGGTCTCCGCGGGCCAATTGGGAAGGACAGTTCGTTGAGACCAGCCAGTCCGGCCGAACTGGCTGTGAGTCATTATTTCGCGTCCCTATTGGGATGTATAGCTATTAAAAGACTCTGGTCTATCGCTATCCCGCTCGCCCGCTCGCTCGCTTGATTTATTTACTTGACCGCACTTTGTTAATATCGATGGATGGATGATTTATGGAATAATTTTCTCCTCCCCCCTCGTCAGTCCTCACGGAGAATAGGGGTAGGGAGCGATGAGGTAGGGCAATGGAAGAAGAGTGTCGTTCCGTTTAGCCTGTCCGCTGCCTTGACCGTCAAGCCATTAGAATGCCCGAGAAGGGATCGCACAAAAAGGCCTGACTCGCTCCCCTGATCATGGCCATCATCATTGATGAAATATACGACACCACAGTCTGCTTTGTTGACCGGCGCGCTGCCCCAGAGCTACAAAAATGTCCGGAAGATCATTCTCGAAATAGTTGGGGCGTTGTCCGGACTCATGGCCAGCCGGGTCAGAATCCTAGCTTCCTCGGGTTGTTCTGCAATGGGGAAGTTCCTCCAAGTGAAGGGAAGGCAGACATCGCTTAGTGATTTGCCACCGCCATAAGTGTTTCGTTGGATGGTGGGGAAACTTCCCCATAGAAACCTCACGGTCTTGTCGCAAACATCAGCCGAGTTTCCCCGAGTTGACAGTGAGTGTTCGACAGCGATGTCATTTCAGAAGTTTGACGAGAAATTATTCTGTCCCGTCATGCGGTTAGAGGAGCCCGAGGAGAACATCATGACTCCCCGCAGTCAGGAAGAATCCAAGCGTCCCGCACTGCAGGTGGTTGACTGCGAGTTGCGGCTCGCATGCGCAACGATGTAGTGATAATCAAGCACAATAATGTTCAGGCCATCCTGAATGAATGAGCTATCGCATCGCAGTAAATGCGACAGAGGTGTTTCCTCATTCAATCACTCACTCGGAAAAACAACGCATCATTGTCGGGAGCGTGAAAGAGTGATGGACTCAGACAATGCCGCAAGTAAACAGTCTAATTGTGTGCTCTGTCTTGGAAACACGGCTGATGTGGCCGATGCAAGCAGGAGCAAAAGCATCAATCATTCGCCTCGGGAGCCGGACGGAGGCCGGAGGAGGCGAAGACTCCTCGGGAATATTTCATAGACCTCACCGCGGACTCTCACGAAAGTCTCCCGAGGGATTCATCGTGGTTCCTCTCTCTCTTTTTCGGACAGGATAAAAATAAATGAAAAGAATGAACGAAAGTTGATCATACGCAAACTTCGCCGACTTCGTCCCGACTCGTCTTCTTTGGCTCTCTATGATCTAAAATTCAGTTTGAGTCGGCCACGGTGACTTGGAAGAAAAGCTTCCCTCGAGTTAACCGAAACCAAAGGCCTACCCTTGAGAGACTGAACGAGACCAACTTGAAAGACTTCGCCTTCTGCGCCACGTCGTCGTCGTTGTCGTCCCTGTCGCCAGAGCCATCGTCGTCTCTCTCCTTCTCATCGTTCCCGACGACGTCGACGACGGCGTCGTTGGCAGCCAGCACGACTACGGCGCGCCGCAACCTCCCATCCCCCTGATTTACTTCACTTACCGATGGTGGTGATGACAGTGAGTGAGTAGAGAAAGGCGCTCCCAAGTGACCACTGGGTTCCTTCTTTTCCTGCCTCCTTGCCGTCGTATCCTTCTTTCACGTGGCGGACGAGCTCCGAGGAAAAGTTCCGCATAACTTGCTGCACCGACATAGTCCAGTTTTCCTTGAATAGCACATTTAGTTCGATGGTGATGCTCCACAAATGGTCTATGGTCGAGTCCCGGAGCTCCTGGACCTCCTGCGCCTTCTGGTCCTCGTGATGTGCTTCGAGATGTCGGAACACGAACGCGCCGAAGATCGAATACGCGACAACCAGGGCGCACAGCCCGATGTGTGAGAACATGAACGCAGTGAATCTTTTGCAACAGCCCGCCAAAGATGGATCCTTCGGTCGTCGAGGCCGCGAAGGGGCTCTCGATCGACGACCTGAGGGTTTCCGCGTTGCGAGCGCCATTGCGTTCCAGGAAACGATAGTGCCAATTGTTGCGAGCAACTTGAATCGATACTCCGACTTGGCAAGGTCTTTCGCTGCTGATGCAGCAGCTGATGACTCCGACCGGCGTCGAAGTCGTCGGCGGCGGCGACGCCGCTGGTGACGAGTGTCTGCTCCGCTGGAGATTGTTGCGAGCGAGCGGGCGAACGCTTAGCGGCGTTGGAAAATTGTTGGCTCTGCGACGACAATCATCGGATGTTGGTCGGACACCGCCTCGCCGGCTGCTCAATGACTGCCACAAAGGGGGTGCGAGACCCGTAGCGCCCTTTGTCCATGTCCGGTAGGCCGACCGAATTCCCGATGCTGCGACGAAGGGATAGCCCGTTGTCGGATGCGCTTGTGGTGGGGGCGACCACTGATTCTGGTCCTACCGGGCTACTCATTACAATGCCGAAGTAGACCAAGAAGCTCAGTCGGGCAATCTCTATTGATTCTGATCCCTCCGCGGTGAATGTTCGCAAGTTTTCCCTCCGTCCGTTGAGTCACTGCTTATCGCCGACTGGTTCTATCGCCGCTGTCGTTCAGCCCGTCCTGATTATCTGATTTCGCCTCGGAGCTATATGGATCATTAGCAAGTCATTTTCTCCACTTCAAAGGGTGACCGCTCGCGCGCGCGACCGACCGCGTGAACGAAGGGGGAGTGAGTGACGGTCTGACAGGCTTCCCTCACTCGGCTTTAGCTTCGCTCGAGCAGCGGCTCGGCTGGTGGAGTCGACACCGAACCTGATGAGGTTGTTCCCACAACCGAGATAAGAAAACAAGAATCCGGACGTGTTCTCTCACGTGTACGATGCTGCTGGTGGCGTTGACTGACAGAAGCCCGGCAGGAAGAATGAAGGCCACCTCAGCGCGCGCCTCTTCAAGGCACCGCACGCGTGCGGTAGCGGCGGCTTCGCCGTGGACGTTCCCGAGGAATTCCAGAAAGACGTCAAGCAGGTGGCCGTCGTCCGTGCGTTCTTCTGAAGGACCGACTGACTGACTGGCTGGCTGCTTGGCTGACTGAGTGACGGCCGGAGTCTTTAAGTGGAACGGTCTGTGAGGCGAGTTACTCACGCAGCTGCGCAGTCTATCGGCCCGTCCAGCAACTCACTCTGTCTGTCGAGAGATCGGCCTGCAGACCAACCGGCCGGCTAGCACCAGACCAGGCTACCGGGTGAGGCGAGCTGCCGATGGCGGTAGGCTTTACTCTCACGGAGGCTGGCGGTCGTAAGTTGGTCAGCAGGCAGACGCTGTCAGCGATATACGCCTGAACGAATCTGCAGCCCCGTTCACCACTTAGCGGATTAGGGAGCGGCCCCACGTCTTACAAACTTCTGAGCTCGGCCTTCGGATCCTACGGCTATCTTGCGCAAACCTTCCCCCATCCAATGCCAACCACAATCCGGTAGTCAATTACTTTTCAGTATGGTCGCTGGTATCGATACCTGACGTCGATGACGCACCCCAACCGAAAATAGTGCGCTGTATCGATGTTCTACACAGAGCTTGCCAGTATCGACGTCTGTCAATGCGAGCGTATGCTCCGGATCCAAACCGATATCCTCGACGTCGATGGTGTTGAAATTTCGATTGTTTGCGTCACGTTAGGTTGTTGTTGTTTCTGCTGGCACCGCGGTCGAGCACCCACATCGACTGACAGTGGGCTCTGTGCGCTCACAGCGAGATTGTCTGACAGAACGCTGCGCCGGCGGTGGGCATATCAGCCGGGACAGAGGTCTGAATCAGATGCCAGCAGCGATCTCTCGGAATATGCGAGCAATGTCGATGTTGTGATGCCGCGGTTAATGTTGACAGCATCGATCTACGCCGTCGACTGCGATAGAAATTCAATCGCGACACGACAACACAGCGAACGACAACGAGCAGATTCTTCTTATCAGACGGTTCTGGTTACCCGCTGAGGCGACGGAAGGAACGTCGACCCGAACTTGAACGGCGGTTCGGTGGCTGTCCTGTTGGGTGATTGGCGACGACGACGACCGCGGTTCCACCCAATTCTCTCTTAATTCTATCAAGAGATCAGTCGAAAAAGTTTCGGTCAGCCCCGATGGATGCGACGGGAATTCGACGATTAAAATTGGAACTGCTGGACATCGATGGAGGTCGAACGCTTCCCGGAGCCTCTTTTCCGCTTAGCTTGCGACAAATGTGCAATTTGGAACAGCACTTGCGTGCAGGAATGTCGCTCTTCGGAGCCTTATTGGCCGGTTTGGTCTGTCTTGCAGACTCTTGTGTGACCCTTCCCTGGCTACCGCTTGCTCGGTTGCCAGCTGACTGACTGGTGGCTTCTGCTGTCAACAGCCGATGTCGGCAACGGTATATCAACGTTTTCTGCAATATTTCACAAATGTGAGGGGCGGTGCGGAATATGAAATGCTAGGGCCTCCGGTTTCAAGATCCAAGAACTTGCAGGCTGAGCGGCTCGCCAGGCGGTCGTTCGTCTGTTCTACTGACCGAGCGACCGACCGATGGGTAAATCGTTGGCTTACCACAGATTCGGTCCGGCCAGGAAGGTCGATCGAGGAAACGACGGGGACGGGGCGAGTTGAACCGAATCAAACCAGCGCCGGCTGACCGGTGAGACTCTGTTGCCGACGAACCGATTATTAGGCGATTCAATGAATCTGATAATTTTCACCCTGGAGATTATCCTTCTTGTGGAGCACAAGACGTAATTCCTCGGATCGGAGAATAGTCCAGCTGTGGAACGTCACTTATGCACCACTGAAAACGGAAACTTTCCACGGTGGGATATTAGGGAAAAAAATTCTCGTTCAAAACGCGAGGTTTCACGGATGATCACAGCCACGGATGTCGATACACCGACATCTGACATGACACAACGACGGAATCCGAGAGGTGAGGACGCACGTGTTGGACCCTCTACAGCTCGTTCGGTTCCAAGCAATGTCCTCTCCGGAACCTCTTGACGAGCCTTCGTTATCGAACGACCAGGTCGGAGAGCCGTCGACGACGACGACACATATTCACAGCGGTGACAACAAAAACACCGGGCTCACCAGATTCACAGCAGACACTCACGGACTCTATAAAGCAGCTGTGGAGAGACCTTACAAGAAAGAGGTCTGGTACTCAACGTCGGTTAGTCTGGCGGGCTTGCCGGCCATTCTCCTCGAATCCTCAGTTGCAACACGCGAAACAGGACTAGAGGGCGCTTCGACGAACGGGAGAGGAACCTTCGGAAAGGGAACGAAGGCAAAGGAAACGACCCGACCGACAAGCATGAGACAACCGAACGAGGAAAACATCGGCAATGTATCAATTACGAGTTTGGTCGCAACCTCTGCCGAGAAGTATAACTCTTCCGCATGAATCCACCGGATTCAGTACTCAGCGACGGGAGTTGATGGGAGCCCCTTGTGAATGGATTTCCCTGGACGAGGACGTCCCGAGCTCATCGTGCGGAGTGTGTCGAGAGTTCATCACAGGGAATTCTGGTTTCCGCATCGCTTCTCTCGAATATTTTCAGAGGAAAAATTGACGATGGGAGCTCCCTCATCCCCAGGGAGTCTTCCTGATGAATGACCACAGGCACGAGACTCGCGAATCGGAACCCGAGACGGATAATACTCGCAGCAGTTTTAATGTAGCATGGTGCGTGTATCGGAGAAACTGCACAGAAATTCATGCTCCCCCGTTCGAGCAGTCGAAGATTTCTAGAGAAGAGATTGTATCGAGAAGCTTGTGAGAAAAATTTGAGAGAAAAACGATCTGACTCAAGACTGAGAGTATAGACAATCGTCAAGCGGCAAAATCAACGCGACAAACTTCGACAGTGGGTTCCGCTGGACATGATCACATCATCGGGATCGGCCATTCAAGTCAAAATTGGCGAGGTTCCCCGTCCGTTCAGGAGCAGGGCGCAGAGACCCGCCCCACATATGTAGGTATTATTAATATTGAATCGATCTCCTGACTCGTGAGATTTGGGGTGCGAGGTCGAGTCCAGCCAGCGAATCAGACGATGTGCCCCAATGACCAATTTGTATTCACCACAAAATTCTCGAAGGCAATCGCCGCCGATGAGGCTCGAAACTCGAGCTCGTTTTCAATGTATGAGGTCCATTTTCAATGATGGGCTATCGTTTCTCGGGGAGAGCATGATGTATTCCAACACACCTCGATTGATCGACATCCCGACCGTTTCGGCGGGAGGATCGCATCGTGAAAGACCAGGAAGGGCCTGAGACTGCAGGGGCCTGTAGGCGGAAGGAGAGGCTCCTTGGCGCCGGTTGGCGACATCCGATCAGAGACGCCCGGAGCGTCAGTAAACGGTTTGAGCAGTCGCTCAATCTTTGTTTCCTCACTCTCTTCAGCGCGTCCCATGCCTCTCGGCCACTGGTATCGCCACCCGCTCAGCTGCTCAGTCACCTCAGTGGAAAAATAAACCGAGTCAATCTTTTCTCCTCTAACCGCCGAAAAGCCTTACGCTATTTCTTGGTACGTAGCCAACGGCGTGGACGACGTGTCCCCTCAATTTCACTACGGCCAATGAGACTTCCGGGGACGTGCTTGAGGTGTGAAGCAAACTTTCGCGACGGGAGCGACGAAGCCACGAACCTTGGGAAGGTGCGGTTCCCTCCATGAGGGCTGGGTGTCGCAGGTTTTTTGACAGCCGAGGACTCAAACAAGTGAACTCATTGGGAATACATAGCAAACGTGAATCGGGCTGAAAATCGACTCCCATCTATCGAAACCGCATTCCGGATCGGACTGAACAACGCCGGGCTCTAGGCCAGGAATATTCCTTCTGAATCGTCATCGCGCCTTTACCGAGATTCCTCCGCGTCGTCTCGAACTATATACAGCGGAGGACAAAACAGTACCTACCTCGCGAGCTCCGCAAGAGCGGAATACTCCAAGAGCTCTCGTGGGGCAGACCCATGGAGCCCAACTCCGTCCGTTATGTAAATTCACTCACTATTCCTTTGGAAGGAGAA